CTTGCCAGTCATCAACCTAACATGAGAATATTGCACTTTTAAGCCTAGGAACAGCTTGGTGCTAGCTGATCATTATGTCAAAAAATGAAATGGTGTAGTGAATATCTCCAAAAGTCGATCTAGTCTCCCTTAAACCTTTTCAACGCTTTTTCAACTCAACACCACCTTGCCGAAAACCACTCTCTTGGGTTGTTTTCAGAATGGAAGTCATCTTTAAGAATTGACATTCAGGAATTGAAAATAAAAATGAACTGAAGAGGTCTCGTAAAAAAGTTGACTTGGATCCATGAAAATCTGGTGTCAGCCTCTACACTACACCCATGTTTTCAGTATGTTGAGAAGAAGGGGAAGTGCATAATATCTTCCCAGAAAATAGGCCATTAGAAACTCTAAATCGCTCTGTAACAATACTAAGATGTACTAGAGAAATTGGAAGACAACTCTTTTTCATATCCTATAGTGTAGCTTTGCAAACACTAGATTTGGTACACTAGATGGTAAACAATCACACGGGAAAGAATGGAATAAATACCTAGGATCAAGGACGGATCTAGAAACTTTGGTTATTGGAAGCAAGACTATAAGTCTACAATTTGTTGATCAGTGGTCTGAAGAGGTTGGTGTCGCACCAATCAGGAATCATAACTCATAACAAAGAAGGCTCGCAAGTGGCAATTACAAAAACAGAGAGCGGAGGTTTCCGAATTTGGGGGAAATGACTGACAGGAATTTAGGGATTGGGTAATGGGTTTTGGGTAAACAGATCAAGTTTAGCCTGCTTAGATGTTTATCTTGAAAAAAAAAACTAAGGGGCTACAGGTCTTTTGCTAAATATATATATCTTAGGGGGTCAGTGGAGGGCCTAGGTTGCACGGATATGGGTACTGGTACAAGTACTGGTGCGGGGACACGGAAAATTTGTAAAAGGTAGGGTATGGGGACACGGCTATATATATGCATGTTATGTATATTTATATATTTTAAAATTAATAATTTACATAAGATCAATATACAAGAAATAGATGTAAAATGTAGAATATACATCCAGGAACTCATAGGAGTGTTTTAAATTAAAACATATATTATATAATTGAGTATCCGCCTGAATAAACATATGCATATATTCAAGAAGGGTCCAAGAGGTTTGGGTATGGATATGGGCACGGGTATATGTCGGGTACGCGTACGGCTTCCTAATAGAAGTACCCACATAACATAGGTGGAGGCAATTGACCCCATTGCTTCCACTGGAGATCCACCCTTGATACCATCAATGACTTATTGTTGTATATACTACATATTTCAAATTGTAGGTCTAGTCTTTTTAGGTATCAAATAAAAGTTTACTAAAGGATCTTCATCAAAAAATAGATTATATATAGGGTTAATTTCACAAAACACATGGAACTTTTTTGGGGGTTTTTGCACTCAACTAACGTGATCTTTGAAATTCCATTAGAAACCATGAATTTTGGGACAGAACCACAACTAGCCTTAAACTTTATATTTTTCCCAAAGAACCCCTAACAGTTATAGTGGCTAATATTTAAAGACAAAAATACCATTTCTCCAATTAATTTCCAGTTAAACTGATTTTAAATTAAATTAAATTGTAATTAATGTCTTTGACTAAATGTAAATTATGTTAGAGAGAAATAGTTGCAATTAAGCAAATGATTCAAAATTTATCATAGAGAAGTATACCTCACAGATAAATACTAAACAGGCTACACAAAGCAATAAGCATAAACTCAAGACACGAGAAATCAATTTGAATATTGTTTCTTTTGAGTATTGTTCCTGACCAATTGTTGTTTAACTAACTCCATCAGCTCCGACTTTGTTGTTGGTTCATCGAAGCCACCACGCAATTGTAGTGTCATTGATTTCATTCTTCTTCTTATGCATTACTTATTTCTGAAAAGGGCATATTAATTATTTGGCTAACCAATTTGGAAGGTAAAACATGATTAAAAAGGTGTTGTATTAGAAGCACTTTTCCCAAGCAATATATATAGATTTTCGTGGTAGAAAATTATAAATAATCTTAAAATCTAAAAGAACTAAAAATCCATGTTCCGGGATGAACTGATACAATTGAAGTCACTTTCGAAGTATGAAAAATAATTGAAAGTCGGAAATAAAAACTTTATAAAAGTTAATCAACATTTGTGAGATTATTGTGTTGTTTATTTTATTGTTGAATTGTCTCAATAATTTTGATGGTTCACTGTACAGAAAAGAAAGAAGTAAAACTACGTACACTCAACTTTCGGGGATAGACATCCGCTAGAAAATAAGGCGAGTTAACCGGCAGAATAAAGAAGGAATCAGACACTATTCGATTATATGTCAGACGCACATCAACAAACATCGCTCCATCGGCTCCAAAGACCATGGCTACTTGAAAGAAAATAAGAAGGCCCCGCTTACAATTGAATGTGTACCACCTAACTAGCCTAAAATCACGATGATTGCAGGAGTGGGCGGTTAGGCTCTGGACTAAGGGGCGAGTAGTTGCAGCATGGGATCATGTGAAATCCCTGTATATTCGATGATACGATGATAGTGAAGTAGAGCCGGCTCAAACATAATCAATCAAAACTCTAATACTCAATTGAATTATTATTATGGGTCAAATTGCTTAACCCTAATACTCAATTGAATTATTATTATGGGTCAGTAGGGGCAACTGCCCCCACTGCCCCTAGTACAAATCATCTGATACCTAGGATTGACTTATTCCAAAGTCTTGGATTCAAACTTTTCTCAAAACAAATGCCCCTTCTCTGCATGTAGAAAAGGAGTAAATAATCAATCAAATTATGAGAAGCTTCACAAAGTGCTTTCTTAGGAATATAGCGTTCATTTATCATTCCATATTATGTTAAGTGGATCATGCTTAACAAATGTTCCTGGATGGCCTGCCACTAGGAGTGCAAATGAATACGTACATCAGTTGATATATCTACATCCTTATTGGCCTGTTTGGATGGAGGGTAGCGATGAGGGGAAGAGAAATCTAATGTTAACATTGTTTGGGAGTTCCATTTAGGAGGGTAGAGGAGGGGAATGTGGGGAAATTTGAGTCAAAATCTTACACCCCAAATTGGGGTGTAATGAAGGGGAAGAGAAAGGAAGGGGAAGGGAAGAAAGGGGAACTTTTCCCCTTCCTTTCCCTTCATTCTCTTCCCTAAGTCATCTCCCAAACACATTATATATGATTTAGATATGGATACAAATTTTGATATCCATGTTGGATGCTTTCTAATTTTAACAAGATGCGAATAGGATATAGGTAAACAACCAAATAATGATAGGGTATCCATAAACCTGTGTGGAGCAAATGGTTGAAATCTATATTGCCTAGACACGAGTATAGGCACAGGATATGACAAATTTATAAAAGGTAGGGTACAGGAAAATGGCTAATATAAATATTTATATACATGTATTGTATATTTAAATTAATAATTTACATGAGATGAATAATTTTTTATTCATATGTTATAAGAATTAAAGTTCCTACAACATTTTTATATTTATTCATTATGCGGATTATAAATTAGAAAATCACTCGTTCTTTAACTAGACACCCAGACGACCAATTAAAACCGTCAAAACTCGAATTATGTCCAATAAATTTCAAGAAGTAGATATGAAGTGTAGAATTTACATCCAAGAAGCGCATGACAAGTGTTTTAAAGTACACATATATTGTTTAATTGAATATATACTCGAATGAATGTACACATATTTGCAAGAAGTGCCAAGGAGTTTCAGTATGGGTACATGTACATGTCAGGTATGGGAACAGCTTCAGATTGAAGTACCCATGTAACACAGGTTGAAGCTATCTTGGTCTTAGGTTGGTGGAGGATTCTCTACTGTGATTGAGACCTATGGATGATTCTAGTTTCTAAAAGATGTTGTCAGCGACAAAAATTCTATCAATTTTATTCTTGACAAGCAAAAAACTCTTCGTTGCATATAGGGTAGGAGACATGTTTTGGAACTGCTAAAACTTTCTATAGGATTTCATTTCTTTTCCTAATTGCTGACTAAGAAAGACAAAATGTTGTTTCTCTTTTGGTATTGTTAAGTATTATCTAGGTATAAGGGGGAAAACACAAACCCTCGTACAGTTATAAAAAAGATAATTCAGAGGGAAGTTATCATAATTTCTAGTCCAGTACGCAAAGCACATACCTCATGCCCATCCCCATGCCCATGAGAATGGTCTTCATGTCCCTCCCAAGGATGGCGCCAACCCTACAAAAGGTTACATTACATGTACAAAAAACTATTTGAGATCAACAAAAAGGAAGGTATAACAGACTTAATTACTATGAAATAAGAAGTTTACCAAGACTACAGGACCATCTTGCTTAGCCCTGTATAGAACCCAAAACCTACATAATACAGATGCAAAATATTGTTATAACCATCGAAAATAAAATGCAACCAATCTGTAACGTCAATAATTTAGCAATTCGTCTCATATTAATGTCAGTCATGTCCTTCAAAATGTAACAGGGCCTCCTCTGGTCAATTACACAAGAGCGGAACATCCACGTGATAGTAAATGTTACACATGAGCTTAAAGTATCAGAATATGTTTAGCCTTGATCATTTGCAAGCAGAACCAATCCATGTACATCTAGGATATCCATTTCTCTGACTCATGACCTGCTTGGTTGAATGGAATTAGAGTCGCAGAAGCAGATGTTGCGGCTAGATTTATAGTCTCAATGTTTGGTTAGAAGAATTTGTAGAAGAATGTGCATCCTGGTTGGTTCATGTAGGGCATTAAGGACGACGAAGGAATGCTACAGAGATAAATCTCTAGGTCCAAATGTGAGGCTCCTATCTCATTTTTATCGAATTCATATGAATGCTTAAAGTACTTTTATGATGATAATGTCAACCTTGATAGGAAGAAAAACACTGATTGTTCTTGCATCCAGAAAATGATGCCAACAAAGTTTCTCAAATTTAGGTTACGTTGCCTATTTAAGATTAAAGCTAAGTTTCTGGTACAATCATCCAGTGAGATGGACTAGATGGTAAAATAGCCGGTAAAGCTACTAGTTTTCTGGCCTAGTCAAGTTTTCCTCGTTCTTCCTAACGAATTTATGCTAATCTTTTAAAAATTCCGACAATTTGATACCTAATCAGGGCTACTTGAATCAAATTCGAAGATAATAGAAAAAGGAACAAAAGTGAAAGGGGAAAAGGAGGGACTTTTTAGGGATTGGGGCGGTAAGATTACCACATGACAGCGCATAAGCCTTTTCCGGTGACGGCATGCCAGCGCTTTGGGGCGTGGTGGACGTACCCCCTCTTCCCGTGACCTCCGCCGCCGCCGCCCATCTCGCTCTCGATCTGTCGATTTAGGAGTTAAAATGATTCTGCGAAGAAAGAGAACGGGCAGACACGAAGCTATTGGGATCCGATAACAGCGAACTTGGGTCTGACTTCTTTTCGGGTACCACTCTCTTGTATGAAACCCGAGTCGACCCGTTTGATATATATACCTAGGTAGGGGTGCCAAACCGTATCCGTATCCGAGGAAATATCCGTAACCGTATCCGTTAGGATACGAATATGGTTACTCAAATCTATTGCCGATAGGATATGGTTGCGGATATGGTTTTGTAGTGAAATATCTGTATCCGTATCCGAAAAAATCCGAATACATATTGGTAATACTCTTACGATAGTTTCGATTCTTAGATTATGGATTTGTGGTTAATTTTGATGATCAAGATGTCTAATCTTAGCTTCTCAATCATAATGAACATATTAACGAACTCTTTTTTAATCACATGACTATATTTTTCTGAATACTATCTAGTTTTCTCATATCCTTTTTGTATTTTCATGCATCTCTGTTTATATATCCGCATCTATATCCGTAACCGTATCCGATTTTGGCGGATATGGATATGAATTTTTCTTACCGACGTATATCCGTATCCGTATCCGTATCCGAGATGGGTAAGCGGATATGGATATGGTAAGTGCCATATCCGAGCCGTATCCGCTCCGTTAACACCCCTATACCTAGGTAATGTTACTGGTTAATACCACATAACCCCTTCAACTTTCAGGGTGTTGTACATTAAACCCCTCAAGTTTGTCTATCTTCAACCCCCTTAAAACTTTGGGGTGTATCACATAGCCCATTGAACTTTGAACTTTTGTCATGGGCCCACCACCATATGTGAACCCGATTCAAAGTTAATCTACCTACCGTTGTCTGAAACTAAACCAGTTCAGGACTAAATTGGTCTATTTCCACTTTGCAAACTTTAGATAGTTTTTGTCAAATTTGAGAGGAATCAGTTCATGCTATTTCTACGAGTATCTTTGCATATTTTAAAGTACTAGTATGGTGAACGTGTGTTGCACGTGTATCTGTTTTCATGTTTAATTTACTTACTCAGATTGTGTAAAAGTTTAGTTTTGAAAGTAAATTTTATTACATATTAGTTTTTCTTAAATATAATTGAGTGAAAATAATTAATATAACCTTTATTATAGCAATTGAATCATATATAATAAGATAAAAAATTGTAATATAATTTTATATATTTAGTAATTATCATATAGTAAGTTGTAAAAGTTATTGATTCACATATTTATTAAATAATTTTCTGTAACTAATCCATTTAATTTATTGAATATATTTTAGAAATTATAATATAGACTATTTAATTAATATATTATACTGAATCAATAGTACCCACCATTTTATTGTTAATGTAATAAATTAGAAATTAAATATATATTAGTAATGGTACTACATAAAGTTGTTATTGAGTGGATAATATTCATTGTTAACATAATATATTTTTGAGAAAAAGTATGATTTCATATGAGGTTTTTGTCACTAAGAAAATTTGATGTGTAAACATTCGGAAAATAGAAACTGTATTATATATATGAGGACCACTTGAAACACAATAGAATTTAAGAAAGCACAACGTTTATTGAATGAACTTCTATGTTCTTTTGACTTTTTTTACACGTTTTTTTCAACATTTAAATATGGATTTTATCCTATCAATGGCTCGTGACTTACTATGCTAATAATCCAATAGTTATTTCTTACCTCATCATATGAAGAAAAAGAAATATCCTGCTAGTGCAGCTGACACTGGAGTTTTTCTTTGGTGCTAAAATTGAAATTTGTGTTTTTTTATCCTTCCTTGTACATTGCACCCCCACATTTAGACCATAATTTTAAATTGCAAAAATAAAGCAGGAATAATGGATCAAGAGAAGCAAATAGATGTATGTACAGACTTTAAAAGTACCTTCTTTTATCGGGTTTGGGATTTAGTTCTTCATTGGTTTTTTTGGCAAATTTGTGCAATGAGTTTCTTCATGAGTCGAATCACAGTAGAAAGTAGTGGTTGCAAGTAATATAAGAATAAATAGAGTTTTTCATCATAAACTTAAATGTTTCTGCTAAAATTGAAGAACTTTGTCTACAAGTCAATCAAATATATGAAATATGGATTTGCATGACAAATGTTAGTAATCGAGATTTAAAATGACTTATAGAAAAAAAAAAGACAGACATCAATATATAAATTCCAAATAAATACAAAGATTGATCTACATTTCTAGCACGCAAGCAACTCTACTTGAGCTCAATGTAGTATGTGTCCTTGCAAAGCATATTTACGATCTCTGACTTAGACCAAATTCAAAACATGCACCAACTCCTATGAGCACCTCCATCAAATTAGACAAGAACGAAAGTGGTGAGAAAATAGATCAAAAGCTTTATTGATGTATGATTGGTAGTTTACTTTATCTCACCGCTAGTAGACCTGATGTTATGTTTAGTGTTTGTGCATGTGCACGTTTTCAAGCTTCTCCTAGAAAATCTCACTTAACTACGGTTAAAAGAATTATTAAGTATATAAATTGTACTATTGAACTTGGTTTGTTTTATCCAAATAATACAAAATTTGATCTTTATGGTTATTGTGATGCCGACTTTGTCGGATGCAAAGTAGACCGTAGAGTACTAGTGGCACATGTCATTTCTTAGACAATTCACTTGTTTCTTGGTCTTCTAAGAAACAAAATTATGTTATCTTATCCACTACGAAAGCAGATACATTACCGCCAGCTTATGTTGTGCACAATTATTATGGATGAAACAAAATTTAGTTGACTTTGATTTATATTTTCATGATGCAAATATATTTTATGATAATAATAGTGCCATAAATATTTTTAAAAATTCTGTTTTACATTCTAGAACCAAGCACATAGATGTACGTCATCATTTCTTACGTGATCATGTCGAGGGAAAGATGTATCCCTTGTTTATTGATACTAAATCACAATTAGCGGACATCTTTACCAAACCTCTTAGTGAAGAAGATTTTTGTCGTATAGGAAATAAATTAGGCATGTGCATTGTTTGTTTTGATGATTTCTGCTTGCCCTTGGTTTTTGGTTTAACATTTTCATATATTAATATTTTATTATTCACACTCATAGTCATAACATGTTTGAACGTACAAGGATACTTAATGGAGTGGTTGAGAGAGACCGAGGTCAATTCCAAGAGGAGTGGCGTCAGTTGTAAATCCTAGGGAGAGGTAGTAATTTCAAGCACTTGAGGAATGTGACACGATAGGCCAACACTTAGAGAAGTATCTTGTGGGTTTTACAACATGTATATCGGTTTTATTACCCTATTTTGATATTGACAAAGGGGGAGAAAAAATATCCAATCCTTTGTACATATAGATAGGGGGAGAGCCTTATAGATAGGGGGAGTAACTATCTATAAGTACAAATTTTATTTATGCTCTTGTATAATGATGGTTTGTCATCATCAAAAAGGGGGAGATTGTTAGGTCTCTTATTTTGATGATGATTTACAAACACCATTATTGGTGCTAATTGCTTATTGAGTGATATTGTGCATATTACTTTTTGTCAAGCAATATAGTGCCATTATTGGAGGATGGATGGAACTTGCGTCATAACGATGATATCCAAGGAGATAGAGGCAAGTTGATGAAGAAAAGCTTTTAAGAGCAACATATACAAGAGGAGCTTCATCAACAAATTAGCAAATACCGAGCCTCAAAAGTTGTATTCATACGTGAGTGATATTTGTATCTTTTACTTTCTCTCTAGATTATAATATAGGCAAGAAACAAAGTAGATAACATTTGAAGCAATCGGGGTTCACACACACATACTTCTAAAATCTTATTTTTGACCAAATTTGAAAAAAATGATAAGGTTTTACATTTGGGAAATGATATTTAAAAAATTCTTTTTCTAACATGTTTATATTCATGATTAAAAATATTTTCCAAAGTTTTATATATTTAGAATTTATTTGGTATTTTTAAAAGGTATTTAAAATTTATTTTCACCATTCAAACATTCCCTATGTATCAGTCGACTAATGAGGATCATCAGTTGGTTGATGAGGATCATCAGTCGACCGAAAAAACGCGCTGGAAAAGTAGAAAAGTTTCTGCTCAGTCAACTGATGAACCATCAGTCGACCGAAGCAGTTCATCAGTCGACCGATGAAGTTCAAGTTACCACCAACGGTCAGCTTATCAGTTGACTGAACAGTACCATCAGTCGACTGATGGCACTGTAACGGCTAGTTTCTGAGTTTCTAGATTTTGCGGGATTTTGGGATTTGTTTTGGATTTGGGGTATTGTTTTGGCTTCCTACACCTCTTTCACTGTAACGGCTAGTTTCTGAGTTTCTAGATTTTGCGGGATTTTGGGATTTGTTTTGGATTTGGGGTATTGTTTTGGCTTCCTACACCTCT